AATCAGGGTTATTGTCTGTTGGTGGTGTCAGAGCATGGTTGGTGCTGGGGGCTGCACTCGCTGCACTTGTGTTGAGACACCAAGGACTGAACAACCAGGATGTGGCTTGTGGACTGTGTGCTTTCTGATGGAGAGGAGTGGGTGTGCAGCGTGGCTTCTGTCTGCTCTAGTCTATCTTGTTCTTCAGTTTCTGTGGAAATGACAGCTGTTTACCAGCTTAGGAACCTGCTTAGGCAGTGGGGTCTAGGGGATAATAAAGTAAAATACTTGCTTGGGGCCACTGGGTGCTGCCTACAAGGACTGTCCATGGCCTGTGAGGAGGCCTCCAGTGGGAAGCCTGAAGCACCTGAAATCCCATCTGCTTTTTGGGTTGTCAGTGGAAGCCTTTTAGGAGATTTAGGCCCCATTGTTTTCTCAGGAATGATGTGGCTCATTAACTGTCTTCCCAACAGTTTTTAATATCTGTGGTCACCATTCACTACCCTGTAGGTGTTCAGCAGTTTGCTTCAACTCTTTTAACAACTGTGCTTTGGGAGCAGCTCAGCTGTCCTTACTAATCCCCTGAGTGAAAGGATACATGAGCGGGGATTCAGGTCAGACCTGCCAGGCACGGGTCACTGCAGTGGCCACCCAGAGCACTGTGGGCAATGTGGCACAAAGTATTTTAAAGATGCTGAGAGCTGCTTAAATATTTGCTTGGATTGAAGCAGAGACTGAGATCTCCGTCTTTAGTGTCCCAGACATTTTTCCCATCCTGCAAGTTTCTGTGTGGAAGTGGTGTCCCTCTTCCCAAGGAGCTTTTTCATGTTATGTAAGGGATTCACTATTCATTAGGTGAGGGATCCTGGCAGAGGAACTACAGCAGTGTTATGAATCAGTCTCTCTGGCCCACTTGATGCAGACTGTGAGTCTGGGTCTCCTGCATCCTTCTTGCAGACCTAACCTTGACCCATGTTGTCTGTCAGTCTTGATAAATTTCCAAAAAGCTGTAAATTTCCAGTAAAGTGATTTTTTTTCCAATTAAAAAACTGGCAAGAAAAGTTGCTGAGAAATATCAGGTAAGATCCAGTCCACACACGTCAGTCTCCCACACAGAAATGAATCTATACCAGAAATCATCTTGCACCAGATGAATCTCATAGAGAAAATATGCACTGCAGAGTTACTTAGTAAGCCTTTTGCCTACTAGTACATGCAAGTGAAATAAAAAAACCCAACAAAATGGATCTTTAGTTTGACACACTAGGTAACAGAAATCAGGTTGTGTCATATTTTCTGCCTGACTACCTTGTCTAATATGAGCAGCATGGTGAAAAGGGAAACAAGAAGTGGATAGAATTTAGAAATATGTCTTCTGAGTCACTGTGGAGTGAACAGGAAGTTCTGATGAGTCAAGATTTGGCACTTTCCCTTGCTGAACCAATGGCACATCCTAGTACTAGGAGAAATTAGGGTGTAGGAAGTGCAATCTTTTGGCTGAGATAACAGACCTGTAATCATCCTCTTCATCAATGATGACCCAATGGTATTTTTCATAAGAAAATAAAACCCTATTCATAGTACCCTGACTGAGACTGTGTGTGTAAGTCTTCATCCTCTCACTTTCCAAAATGTCATGAAATCTCTCCTCATTTCAAGCATATCTTGCTCTGTGATAATGTGCACATAGATCAATTTGTTAGTCTATTGGAGGAGCTAGTTATTTTGCTCATTAGGAAAAATTATTTTTATCCTCTTTACTACGTATAGCTTTCATTTTTCTCGGTTTTCAAGTGTTGAGATGCAGAGCCACTCTCATTGCCTATTTGTGGACAACACCATTGTTTGGTGTGTGCATTTTGCTCCAGATAAAGTCAAACCTGTTCTCAATTTTAACTTCCTTTTGGAAAGCAACATTACTGGGAGAAAGAATCTTATGGCCTCTTGTCTGCTTAATGGATTCTGTGGACCAATGTGGGATATCATAATGTTAATTTATAATGGCAAACCTTATTCTTTGCTGTTCATTTTTTGAGCAGTGCTCTGCTATTGTGCTTATCCAGCTGTCTCTCCTCCTGTCTCTTTCTCCTTCTTCTCCTTTCTCTTTCTTCTCTGCCCATCCCACTTGCCTACTGTCCAGGTACCTTTGAGGAAGCACAGATGTGTGTACATCCAAAATTCTGCTGTGAGGTGTTGGTAGTATTTCAGCAGTGGTGAAAACCTTATATTTCATAGCAAACTCAACAAAAAGGATGGACTCTGCATGGATGACTAATTTAATTTCCCTTTGCCTGTAGCAGAATCAGCTGAAGAATTTCCAGTTGGTTGCTCCTTTAGCCAGGGTGTCTTGCTGTGTGTTGAAATTGCATATGTAGCAGCAGTCACGGTTATTGCACTGGTGAGCTAAAGAGGGCACTTGAGGCTTTTGAGCAGCAAAGATGGACTTCTGAGGAAGAACTAACATGTGGAAACCATGCTGACCATCCCCAGGCTGCTGGCTGGTCTGGACCTCATCCCCATTGCCTCTGCCAAGCCCGCCCATAGCAATGATGTCATTGAGTCGCTCTGTGGGGTTCTGGAGAGCAGTGAAATGCACCCAGTGAAGTCAATGATGACATTTCCAGTCCTGGGGGTTACATGACCATAGGTTGCCCCTGTGCATGTTCTGTTGGATGCAGATCTGGCAGCAGGACCCCTCAGGTCCTTGAATACAACTCATTATATCTGGGAACAGAGCCAAGAGGGAAAGAGGGAGACTTCAACTGGTGTCAATCCCAGCTGCATCTCTGCTTAGCAACAGAGGTTTTTGTAAAATACATTGTCTGTGGCTTTGCTATCTCTGTTTATTTTTTTGCTACAAGAGGCCCATGTGGGAGCTGAGGCCACTTCTAGGACCACTGACCCACTGTGGCCAAGAAAGTTTTGGAAATGCTGAATCTATCAGCCACTGAGCACTAGCAGCCATCTCCCAGGTGCTGCTTCTCGTGACTGAACAGCAGTGATTGCCATGGGTCCTGCAGCAAGAAGGGCAACAAATCCCTGCTCATCTTCCTAAGCAGCCACCCAGTGTCTGCTGCACTCTGGCTGCATCTGCTGCAGCGTGCAAATGCCCAATGGAGAAGACTTTAAAATCAGACAAATATTTGAGGAGAAAAAACATTCATGTTAGAGACAATGTTACTTTACTTTCAGTTTGGGTCAAAGACTATTCTTCTATCCTTCTAGGATGGAGGTGCTCGACCTCAAATCCTTCTGGCATCAAGCTGGGCATGAGCTGAGGACCCTGTGTCCATGTTTGAAGGGGTGATGTGTATGGACAAAGTTAGTGCCATTTTTTGCTTTATTCCTAGGTGCCTCCACAGCCCCTGCAGGGTTTAGTGGGTGGAACAAATGCTCTTCCAAATACTAATGCCAAACAACCAGAGTAGGACTCCAGAGCTTCCCTCCCAGCATTAGGAGATGAATTGACCTGAGAGGTGAAGCGGGCCCCTGGAAGGCAGGACTGCTGAAATCATGTACTAGCAGCAGGAGGGGTTTAGGTTGGCCAGGAGAGGGGCTGAGGAGCCAGGATTTCTAGGTTGTAGCTTTACCCTTAATGAAGTCTTTTTCTGATTGTGGTGGCAGAGAACTTGGGTTGGGACTGATCAGTATTATGGACAAGCCACCCAAAAGCTTTGTTTGTCTTTGATTCTTGTCTGGGTTCATTCAACTTTTGTCTGATGCCAGATCCGGTCCCACTCCTTTCCCTTTGAAATGGTTTTCCGTTACTTGGTGTAAAGGAGAAAAAGAATGACTCAATCATCTCACTGAGTAAACAGTTCCCACTCCATCCTCTGAAAACAAAAGCTGAAGATTGATTTTCCTCAGGACCCACGGCAGATGAATCAGAAAGCTAGGCTTTTTGTGTGTGTGTCTAAGTGGGCCGACAAGAACAAGAGCCAAATGGGCACCACAGAAATGGCATCAGAAGGTGGCACCCCTGTGCACTGAGAAAGCACTGTATGCTGGATGTGAGCATAGCTGAGGAGGTGGGACACTTCTAGCTCTTGGCCTCTGGATAGTTCAGCTGTCGAGGCTTTACAAAACTGCGAGGGGGCAAGGGTGAGCAAAAAGCCAAGAGCATGAGTGTGCAAGAAAGGGCAGCAGGCCAAAGGAGCAGTCACTGCAACCCTTGGAGAAATGTTTGCACACACACATGCTGGCTTGCACAAACACGTTCTCGCTCACACACACTACCAATAACAGCACAGGGAGGCTGCTCCCAGAGGCCAGCCCTGCTTCACACTGGTCCCTGTTAATGACCAACATCTGGTGGAGAGGCAGCTAGGGCCGGCAAGCCCTTTCACTGGCGAGAAGTGAAGGGGAGGGCTGAGGGCTGGGCTGGGGAGGGCTGAGGGCTGGGCTGCGGAGGGCTTATTTTCTCTAAAAGCATCCTGCAAACACTCACTTCTGTTTCCTCTGTGGAGAGCAGAGGCTGAGCAGCTCTCTACCTTCATGTTTTGTGTGTACCAGAGCTGCTGAAAGACAATCATGTGAAACCCCCAAACCAAAAATCCCTAGCTGCACCAAGCCATAATAGCCAGGGCAAGTTTTGCCAGGCCAGCCTGATTTTACCTGGTTTTAGCTTTGATGCACAGCACAGGAACAAATATCCTCAATATATCATTTTAGGAAGGATGAAAGGATTTTTCAAGATGGATGTGGTCTGTTTACAGATTTGGGTTTCTCTGACCTTACTGTTGGCAAAAGATGGAGGAAGCAGCATGTATCCCATGGCCCTGCACCAGCCCTTCCCACAAAAAAAAGCAGTGGTGTTTTGGCAACCAGGGAAATCCTTCACTGGTGTGAACTGTTGGGTGATGGTGATACTGCCAGAGGGTGTGTGGGTTTGCCCTGCTGCTACCTGTCCTGTGCCTTGTGCACTCCCCAAGGTCTGCCATTGACTGAGGTGGAATAGACAATGCACTGGGAGGGAAATATGGGAAAACTTTGCATTTTTTAAACTACAGCCATTCTTCATCTAGAAGGACTGTCCTGCCAAGCTGGGCGGTTGCCCCCTTCCTGCTCCTTAGCAGCTGCACCCCATCTCACCCCTGGAATTTATCTGCAGGGGCCCAGTCTGCTCACACCTCGACCAATCTGGAGATTCCCAATCCTTCCCACCGGAGCTCCAGGCAGAAGAAACCCTCCCCCATGTGTCGGCCTGCCTGAGCACGGACTACAGCTTCCCCAAGACAGCACTTAGCAAACATACCAAAGGCTTCCTTGGCATCAGAGAGGTGATATTATCCAGCTCTGCTGTTATCATTGCCTCCTCCTTGGGAGTACAGATGGGCTGTCAGAGGTGGGGAGAGAGAGATGGAGGGTATGGAAAGGCAAAGGAAAGAGAAAAGGTCTTCTATGAACAAATTCTGGAGGGTTTAATCTCTGCCTGTCCAGCATGGGACTCCTGAGGAATGAGGTCTCATATCCTGTAGCTGAGCATGAACTGGCTATACCTGCTGGAAAATGCCCTGCCTGACATGCCGCTGAGCTGAGGATCTGGGGAGAATGATGGGGGCAGTTGGGGCTGGGAATCGTGTACCCTGGGGGCATGCACCACAGGGCCTGGTGCTGGGCTTTGGGAGCTGAGCCTCACCAGCATCCTTTCCCCTCTCATCATCTCATCACCTCACCAACATTCACGGTGCCTGTAAGGCACTGGTTGGTAAGGGCTAAAATGAACGTCAGATTATCTTTTGGCCCAGGAATGTCCTCAAACTGGAGATCTCCCTCACCGGGGGTCAGCAAGGCCAGACTATGCCCTCAATCTCTGGCTTCCAGGTTGAGTATGGGACCACAGAGGAAGGCTGAGGTTAGAGTTTGGCCACAGATCTAATTACTCCCCCAGATGTGTGTGTGCATGTCACAACATCACCAGACACAATCTGCACGTCCCCAGTTGCTCACCAGTGAGTCACGACAGACTGGAAAAATACAATCCCACTCTGATGCTGTGACAGATCTGTGAGTGCTCTCTAGTAATACGTGAGTAGTGTATGTGAGCAGCCAGCCAGGACAGTTAGCATCTGACGCTGCTGGCTTGAAGAGTAGGATGTTTACTGTACGGCTATGTTGAGTTCAACAGGGAATGACTCAGGGCAGACGTCCAAGACATGCTTGAGGCTTTTTGGGGATGATGGTCATCAAGTTCTGAGGACAGCAGCTTGACCTCCTTCCCCTTCCCTTCAAGCCCATCACACAAGTATTGGGCAATCAAAGCCCTAAATCACAGGTATTGAGGAAACAAGGGAAGTCCTGTGTTATCATGAGAAGTTTCTGCTAAGAGGGAAGGACTTCATCCTGGTGGGTGTTTAGGGAGAAGTGTTTTCTGGAGTTTGACCTGTCTGAGGCACTGTGATGAGCTCTTGAGTGAGTTGGTGATCAGGGAAAAAGCAGTGCCTCTCTACCGCCCTCCCTCCTCACTGGACACTCTTATGTAGTAGCATCCAGACACGAAGTCCTGCTGAGTGGGATTCTCCACAAAGGACCAGCGAGCTCCTGTCTCAAAGGCTGAGAGGGGTCACCAGCTCCTTGCTCAGAGTTGGAGGAACAGCCCATACAGCACATATAGGCTGGTGATTCCTTTCCCCTCAGGAGGCCCTGGATGCTGCCAGTGCTGCCAGCTGTGCACAGCTGGGTTACAGGTGTGCTGTTGTGGGGCACACCCACAGCATGCCCAGGTCTTTGCTGGTGGGATCGGGAGAGAGCCCACAATTATCTGAAGTGCAGACAAGAAAGTGAATATTCCTGGGCTCTGCAGTCTTTTCTTCAAAGGCCCATTTGTGGAAGGAGCCAGTGCTGACCCAAACATGGGATCAGCAGGAGTGTTCTTTAAGCCTTTACATGTCATCCCTTTGTACTTGCATACTTAAGGGCTTAAGAGTTTGACAGCAAAGGGAAGATGGTCTGTTCTCCTGAAGTGTTGAACTTGGAGGACTAGAGAGGCAGAGCCCCTCACTGATGAAGGGATGGATCCCAGCAATGATCAGCTGGCGGGAACCCATTCTAGAATCTGTGGCATTTATATGGAGTAGTTAGGAGGCTGCAGGGTGCTGCTGGGGTAAGTGCTGTGACTGAAGTTGCTGCACCACTGTTCTCTCCCCTTGGCCTTCCCAGGCAGAGGAGACAAAGTAAGACATCAGTGAAGAGAAAGGGAAGGGAGCTAGGTGGACATTCTGACAAACCTTTGGTGGCACTGAGCTGCCATGCATTTGGAGCAGCAAGGAGGAGTCTGATGCTGCTCTTTGTCCCATTGAGATGGACCATTCTAACCCTCTGGTTCTGCATCTCTGACCAGTGTGACCACAAGTGCCAACTGTCTGCCTTCAACCAGCATATCCTACCAGCCACTACTTCTTCCTTGCCACTGATTCCCGTTTCTTATTGTTTGGATCCATCCACTGCCAAAATCAGGTCATGGAGTAACAGAATTATAGATTCACAGAGTGGTTTGGGTTGGAAGGAACCTTAAAGATTATCTAGTTCCAACCCCCCTGCCATGGGCACGGACACCTTGCTCAGAGCTCCACCCAACCTGGCCTTGGACACTTCCAGGGATGGGATGCTGAGTCTGTTTGAGCTGCATTAAACTCCAGTGTGAGTGAGCACCTCAGTATCAGGCCTAAGGCAGACCTCCAGCTGGAAAGCACTGCAAACCAGACCCATCAGTTTGGCATCTAAATTGGTTTTGAAAATAACTCACTTGTCTCTGAGGTGAAGTTCTGTGGTATCTCACATGCTCAGGTCTGCTGCTGAAGGACAAGACTGGGTCCTGTTTCTGTAAGACAAAATAATATAGGAAAGACACTGAAGCTGACACAGAGATCAGAGGAAGCTTAGAAGCACCTGGATTGAAAGAGTTGGCATCAAACGCAAAAATCCTACATGAAAGCATAGCAAGAGAGATGTTCCCGCATCAGCTGGGATGACCTGACCCTGTAGTTTTGGGTAAGGGCTTTCTCTGGCTTGACATGCTGCTGAGGTGCTGAGCACTGGGCTGATGGCTTAAGGGTGAATTTTACTATAGTCTCAAACAATTTGTAAAGTGACTAGTGTAAAATGTCTCTCTTCCTCAAGATCATGACTCCTCATCTTGTGGGGCTGCAGTCACAGATTTGAGGGTTTGGTGGTTGTATAAGCCAACAGCAAGAATAAGACCCCTGAGTGAAACCCAAATAGCTGCTGATGGGTATCCAGGGAGTGACCTGACTAGTGTGCTTTGTCCTTTGATATCCAGGTTTGTCCTGAGCATCTGGACTCAGAAGGTGGTGAGAAAAGAGGAACCTGGGAAATGGGGGGAGAGTGGAAAAAGGTGGCAGGAGACAGGGAGGGGCTTACGTAGCACGGCATTGGGGTGAACTGATAGCATCATGGGTTATCCCTTAGCAAAAGGGAACAGAAGCTTGCAATGCTGAAATGTCTTCCTCCCACCATAGTGCCTCAGGCTCAGAGCCAGAGGATGTGCTAGGACTGTTTCTAGCTTGGTTGTCTGCATCATGGATGAGTGTCCAGGTGCGTGACTGGGTAGGGGTGGATCAGGTTGCTGCGCCAGAGCAGTTGGTTTAATGCTCTCTCCACTGCTATTAGGTTGTTGCAGAGTCAAGGTGGCGTGTCCGGTTCTGGGAGCTTTGGTGAAACCACTTGTGGGGGCAGGGGGCTGTGTTTAACCCTGCACCTGGCCAAGCGTGCTAAGAGGCTGGAGTCTGTGGAGACAGCCCCACTTCTAACTCTGAAACTGACTGCGGTTTTCTGCTAGCACGAATAGGTCTGTGTCTTCACGGGAAGGAAGGAGGAGGGAACTGCACGATGCTGTTGCTTACGCCTCCTGAGCTGAGGATGAGACAGGCAGAGGTTCCCCCGCGCCCGTGACGCCGGCGCGTTCCGCAGCCCGCGGTGCCGCCGGGCTGGCGAAGCCGCGCCGCTCCGCCCCGCGCGGTGTCTGCGCCGCTCCCCGGGCACGCAGCCGCTCGGCCTGCGCTCGCACGTAGCTGTCCCTCCGCCACCTGCCCCTGAGTCACAGCTCGGGTCCTGCCCCAGATCAGGGGATTTCCCAGCGCCCAGCTCAAAGGCTTGCGTGCCGAGAAGCCTCCTCGCAGGCAGCTGGAAATCGTCTCCGAAGACACATTCCTGGACAAGCCAGAGCTGAGAATGTCGCCGAGTGGGTGGAAGTCCCTGAGGACTTTGCTGAGTTTTGTGGGTTCTGTCCCTGCAGTGAGCACGGGGAGAGAAGGTGCTGGCCTTGCTGCCACCCCCTGGTGTGGTGCCTTTTTCTCCAGTGCATCCTTATATTTCCTGCAGCTTAGGGCATCTCCAAAGTCATCCACCTCCATAGAATGGACACGGTTACCTAGCTGAGTGGGGGCATGAAAAAAACCCTGGGTTACTGGGGGTCTGTGGGGCTGTGCACCCTGACAGGGGCCTGTGGAACCCCCTCTGATGGGGGTTTGCTTGTCTGGTTGCTCTTGGTGTGGGCTGCAGGATGGCAGAGTGAATGCAGGACAGCTTTACTTCTTGTTCCTGCAAAAAGATGATCCTTCCCTGGCCTCCTGTCCACTCCTTCCAGTGCTGGGCACTCTTTTCCTGAGTTTCCCATAGGAGAAACTGCTTTCGTATTTCCTGTGCTTCCATAGCATGTAGCTGACGTAGGAGATGCCAGGGTTGCAGGTAAATCATCGTGGCAGCAGGGACCTTTATGGATGTGATTATCTGGGCATTTGAGTGGAGGGTGCCCACCACATCCCCTGAGGTGCTTCGCACTCACTGCCTTTGGGAGGAAACAGAAAGAATTTAGCATTAGCCAGGCATGGATACCAAGCAGCCAGCAAAAGCACAAATATTTGGCTACCCCAACACATCTGTTTAGAAGCAGCTCAATCCCAATTTTAAATAAAATGGGAAAGAAAATACATTAATTGAAGCCATGTCCTTAGGAATGCAATCCCTTGGCGGGGGCCCAGCAATGGCAGACTTGTTGGGAGCTCATGTGTCACACAGACGAGACAATCATCCCAGCTCTGTTGTGAGCCCCTTGTGCTGTTTCAGGGCACCCTGCAGAAGCTAAGGGAAGCTTACCTGGCTGTTTGAACACATAATGCTCCTGCAGGAGTACATACTCCAGCAGCATCACACCTCCTCATTGCCCTCCCCACAGCAGCATCCTGTTTCTTGGGAAGGACTCAATGTCAGGGGTTAGATGCTCCTGTTCTGCTTCGTCTTTTGAGGGAAGGATCCAACCCTGGGAGAGCCTAATAAAAAAGATCAGCTGTTTTCCCAGCAGCCCCTCACTTTTTGTGTGGGACTTGGACTATTAGATTTGGAACAGCTGATCCAAAGTCTGTTGACAAATCCATGAAGAGTCAGTGAAGCTTAGACACTACTCTCCTGATAGCCTCCTTTGGTTGACCCCAGACCTTGTTAATCTCCCAGGGACAAGCCTGCAAAAACAGCTTAAGATGGGAAACTGGTGTGTGGAATGGAAAAGGGAGATTCCCAAGCCTCTCATCTGCTTCTCCAGTGAGCTCTGCAGCCCTTCCTGAGCTCAGTGGTGTTGCAGCTTTCTGGGATATTTAGACTAAACTCACAGGTGAGGAATGCCTGCACTGTGGTCGCAGGCATGTGCCCAACCCCACTGACAGACCACTGCTGGGATGGTGTCTGCTATGTTACCCAGTGCCTCATGTGTCCCACAGCACTGGTGTCCTTCTCCCCATCTCCTTTACATCAGAGGCAGCACAACCTGCCCAGCTGTCACAGTTTGTCATATGGAGGTCTGTGGGAAGGAGGGTCTGCTGGAGGGAGGCCAGCCCCTCCGACTACCACAGTAGAGGGCTCTCCTCCCTCTCAGAGCAGAGCAAAACACATGAGCTCAGGGGCCACTGGGGTCTGGGAAGGAGGCTGGAGAAGCCCAATGTACAGAAATAGGGATAGAGAAGGAACCAGCTGCGCCACAGCCCATGGGATGCCCATAATCAGCACTCAGCACTGGGTGAAGTCCTGAGGGACAGGTCCTGGCTTCTCAGCAGGGCTGTCCCAAAGATCCATTGGATGCCCCTTAGGTGATGGTGTTTGGTAGTATCATTGGGTCTGTCCAATTGTCAGCTAGGGTTTCATTCCCATGGACTCTGTGTCCATGCTGGAATTGGCCATGCTCTGACATGGAGAAAGGCAATGGTTAACAGCTGTGCCATCATTATTCTTACACAACCTCCTCTGTAGTACACAGCCAGCCTCCGGGATGTAATAAGTACTAATGTCATCCTGGGCAGAAATGATGGGGGCAGGGAGTGCCTCAGAGGAAACCCTTGGCTCGTGTCAATCAGCACAATTTTTTATTTTACAGATCATGCTGCAGAGTGCTTCCAAGTATGAACAAACCTAAATGAAGACAGCTGGTAGAGGCTCTTGTCATCTAATTCCTTCCAGATGTGTGGTCATATGCTGCAGTTTCTGACTAATGACATCCCAGAGGAAAGCCCTAGGGATGTGGCAGCAATGGAGCGGGTGAGGGGCATGCCAGGAACCTGTTGGTGGGCCGGCAGCACTGACTCCCCAGGAGCTGCTGCCTGGAGACCCTGGGGAGGGGTCTGCTCTCCCCCTCTTCCCCTTGAGATCAGCAGGACTCAATGGGTAGCACAGGGCTGCGTCTGCCACACTTGGGCACACAGGCAGCTCTCCACAAGTGGGTAAAACTGCATAATCCAAGAGCTGTATCCAGCAGAGATAGCCACTTTATGGTCTGGAAGCAAAAAAAAACCCCACACTTGGTAGGGCTGTGCTGGAGCAAATTAGAAATGTTTTCTGATAATTAATTGAGGTTGAAGCATTTATACTTCTTCCTGCTTACAAGCCCATTCAGATCTCCCTGCAGGATGCCTCTGTCTGCCACAGAGAAATCAGTCTGGGTGGGAAGATTTGTAAATCCTGCCTCCTTCCTCTGAAATAGCTACCCTGCACGTTCCCATTTTATGTTCATGCACAGCCTGGATTGTATTTGAGCTATGCACAGTCTCCAGTGGGTTTAGTTTCTTCACCCCCCTGTAGGGTAAACAGTGCTAGTTTGATGACCTGGGGCTTAGGAGATGGATGCTCAGTGGCTTGGAGATAGGTCAGGAACTGTGGGGCATGAGCCATTCTGACCACGAGTGGGAGATCACATCTTCCTAGCATACTGCCTCCTTCACACTGTCTCTCAGAAACTGCAACCCACCTGAGGCCAGCCTTGCTGCTTAGGAAAAGGACTCATTTTGGGTCTACCTGTGGTCCCTGTGCTCCCTTCTTCCTCTCCACACCTTGGCAATTAACCTCTGAACTCTGGTTAATCCCAGGATTAGCACTTCATGGACTATTGGTTCTGTTTTCCACCACCCCTTCTGTGTCCCGACATCCCTGACAAACATGCAGGGGGGTCCGGAAAGCCAGGCTGCCCCTGAGAAGGGAGGAGGCTTGTAATGAATGCAGGATGTCAGGATCTTGAAGAGTGATGAGGGATAATCTGGGAGTCACCTGCAACTGATAATGATCTCCTGAAGCCTAGGACCAGGGTGGAGGGGCACAAACAGCCTGAGGGGCTGTGGCAGCCACTTCAGCCTCCCTACCTTGGCCCCTTCTGCCAGGCAGAGTGGGCTGCAGAGGAAAGGAAAATCCTTGTGGGCTTTCGGTGAAGGTGTAAATATCTTCTCTAGTTGCAGGGGGGCTGCAGCCAAATGAGTATCTTGTGGATCTTGATGTAGTCTCCTCCAGGATTTACTTATTCATGTGTTTTCCCTTGTGAGGGTGTCCTTGGGCAAAGGGAGAATTTGCTCCTGGAGTTTATTCAATATCAGTGCTTAAGATGCACTCCAGGTCTGTGGGTAAGCTTTCTGCTCCCTTCTCAGCTCTCCCCTGCCTTGCTTTTGCCTCCCTGGGGGCACTTCACAGCTCCCAGATGACTGATTTTCAAGGAGAGCCCAGAGATTCTCATTTAACCTAACAGAGGCAGTGAAGTGACCTCTGTCACTTTTCCCTCAAGATGAAAATTCCCAGCTGTGATGAAGGATTAGGCAGTACAGTCAATTTAGCCATGAGAGCTGCTTTTTACGTCCAAGACATCCAGCTGTGTAATGGACCACACGATGGAAATAACAGAAGTAGAAAGGGACTCATGCTGAGGTTGGCCCAAAGGAAAACAGACTGCAGGGGAAAGCCTCATAGATAGTAGTCAAGACATACTGAAGAGATTCTAGTGCCTCTTTCCCTTAGCTGAGGGGTTTGTCTCAGGTTTTCAGTGACTGTTAACTCCTTGCCCTAAGTGCCTATGCTCTCTCTCTCCTTCTCCTGTAATTCCATGAGTTTCTCCAGGACTTAGCCAGTGGAGAGGGGCGAGCCCAATTGTTGGGGCAATTCCTTGCCACACTGGCAAGGTGCTGGGGGCTGAGCCCAGTGGATGCTGCCTGGAGGGTAGAAAACTCTTGGAAAAGTACGTGGACTTGCAGCAGTGTGGGATGCAGGTTTCCTTTCTCCCTGGAGCAGAAGAGCAGCACTTTCTTCTGCTTCCACTGTGCCCCAAGGATGGAAAGGGGAGGGGAGCTGCTCCCCGGATGCTGCCTGGGGAGCCAAGAAGTCGGCATGAGCTGGCAGTTGCTTTGCACCTCTAGTTACATTCTGGGAGTGGGACTGAGGCAGGTGCAGACATTCTTAAGAGGAAATGGGTAATCAGCTCATGCCCCTGTTGTACCATATGCTCTGTGTGTACAGGATGTTTGGTTTCCTATTGGTCCTGTCCTGAGATAGTTGGGACAGGAGATTCTGAGTCCATGGAACCTTATACCCAGGAAGGGCCTAGCTGCTCCCTGTTTGAATGGGTTTCAGTTATGCTTTAACTCCCAGCTGGAGAATGGACTAGAGGGAAATCAGTGGTACTTTCCCATCTTCTCACTATTCCTTTCAGTGGTGGTGAAAGGAGTACCAAGGAGGGAGTTCAGGAAATACAGTTACAAGGTACAAGTGTCTCTGAGGACAGCCAACCCTGCTCCATCTGAATTCTGTGATATCAAGGGGAGTGTATCCCAGGTGTGCACCCTGAGCATCTGAGCAATACTTTGTTTGTAAACACTTGTTAAAAAAAAAAATTAAATGAAAGACTTTTGAGATTATCTTGGTCTTGCCACATCACCAGGTACTGGAAGACCTCTGACTGCCCACAGAGCAGTACTTGGGTAAGCCTCAGGCATGCCACTGGGGATTCCCTGGCTTCAGAGGGGAAAACTTCTGGGAAGAAGTAACACCAGCTTCTGTGAAATGCTTTCATTCATTGCTGTCCAGACGGGAATTGATCCTGGCAAAAAATGGTGAGGGCATGTGTTTCATTCCCAGTAGGGGCTGGTTTTGATCAGAAATGATCTGGCACTGGACCTCAGCATGACTGATAACTGCAGCCTGCTGTCCTGAGCACCACTTGGCCCTGAGGAGGCTCGCTTGTGTTTGCATTTGGAAAGGCCTCCCATGCTCTCAGCTGGTCGCAGTTGAACAGCTTCCAAGGCGGCTTACTTTTTTCTCTTTTTATCGCCATTATTATTTTTTAATAAAGTTCTCTGATTAGCTTCTGAGGCTATATGGTAAAGTGGCCTCAGATTTAATTTCCTCTCCTTGGCTACTCGCAGCGGTTTCCAAGCCAGCTCAGTATTGCTGTGAAGTGAGACTAAGTGTGGTGGCTCCCAGGAGGCTGAGAAGAAGCCCAGGACACTGACCCTGTCCTGATGCCACAGCACTCTTTGGGAGATACCAGATGGGCCATGTGGTGAGGGAGAGCAATTATAAAGGAGTGGAGTGTGGTGTGGGGAGTGCTGGTGTGGGATATCCACCCAAGTTCACCTCCTTGACTTCATTCTCCTCTGCATCTGCTGTAGGGCTTTCCTCCACTCCTCAGAAAGCACTGTTTATTAATATAAATTGTATTATTAGTAATATTAATCAAAACATTGGCAGTAATACCAATGCACCATGTTTGTTGCTATTTGCAGAACTGAGGACAGAAGGAACCAAGTCTGTATAGCGAGACACTGCAGGTACCATCAACTCTTCTCTTTTATCGCCATCTCTGTCTTTTGCCCCTCTCCAAAGCCAAGAAAAAGCTTTTCCTGCTCTCCTTTACGTGCTGGGGCTGCAGAAGGCCAGAGGTGTGGGGCCCCACAGCAAAGGCAGGTGGATTGTGGAAGCTCAGGCTGGGTTGTACTTGAGTCCTGGCTTGGCAAACACCACAGTGACAAACAAAGCTGACCTGGCAGAGCACTTCCAGCATTCCTAGGACAATTTGCTCACTGCAGGAGGACAGGACAAGTTCAAGGCTCATTTCCCCAGAGTGCAAACTGAGTGTGATAGAAGCAGTGGTGTGAATGGATCAACGAAGTGGAGAGGCATGAGGAGAAGTTCTGGGTTCCTTACTGAGAAGCCTGAGCCAACCTCACCCGTAGCCACTGGCAGACAGAGGGGACATCCTGGTTCAGGGTGAGCAACAGACAAGGAACCGAAAGGACAGGCATGCTCCCAGCCTCGTTGCCCTGTAGGGGCACACAGAGCATGGCTACATCCCTGCTGGCATTTTCCTTTGCAGAGTGGTGAGGCAGAGGCACAGACAGGAAGGAAACATACCTTTACTGGAAAATATCATATGTTAGGGTCAAGTGCTGTAGAGACTGGGCTTCCCACAGAGAGGGCCACTGGTACTTGGAGGCACTACAGGGCACTTGTGTGTATGAACTTTAGTGATCAGCAAGCTCTTTGCAAGTCTGCACTGCATCCAAGCTGCTCTGGCCACCTGTTCTCTGCTGGCTGTTAATTCTCACTAATTTACTTGTCTAGAGTCTGAAGGGTTCCACATACTCCTGATTACTGGGGGTCTGTATGGAGGATGGAGATGCTTACATCCTCATCCACCTTTTCCCACTCTTCTTCTTCCTTCCCTACTGGGGTCCTTTGCTCTTTGGCTGTGTTTCTCGCTTACTGCAGCACCTCACCTCCCTGCCTGGCTGTGGTCTTTGGCTAGCCTGAGGGAAAGGCCATCCATTGCTAGCATATATTGCTTTGCTTGCCTTCGTTTCCTCAGGACATTCTTTCCCAAGCTGACATGCTGAAGATAATATATCTCTCCCTCCCTTTGCCTCACTCACCTTTCCCCTTAACTGCATGTGTTTCTGTCTCTCTCCATCCCTGTGATTAAACCTTGGCAGGAAATTCAGACCCGCTCAGTCATTAAAGGCCAGATTACAGTCTGAAGCAGCAGAGGGAGTGGAAATGGGCTCTCAGCTGATCCCCATCATTTCCACATCAGCTGGGAATGAGATCCCTCCTCCCTGTGCTAGCAACAGCCCCTGGCTGACCCCAGAAAACTGGCAATGATTGCCTACCTGAGTGGGAAGTGGAATCTGCTGGGACAACTTCCTTGATG